GATGCTAGCTGATTTTGGTGGTTCATAGCCTCTCTCTCATTATCCTCCATTTCTTCATGGTGTTTGCAAACCATTTGAGGCATCACACTTGAGATGCTAAGCTCTTGAAAGGCCAACAACTACAAGCTATAAATAAGAGGTGTTCATCTAACTAGTTTTTATGATTCGTGTAACAAATTTGTATGCTAGTTAGGCTTCGTGCTTTGGAAAATTGTTAATTGAATGTATAACTTGAGAAAACTTAGATCCAAAGCATTAGGGTTGTATGCGCACCATAAGAGTGTTATAGTACATAAAACCCAACATGATCAACTTTAGGACAATATCAGTTGGCATCCAAGCAGTCAAGTTCACTGCCCTTGGTTCAAGATTAGTTGAGGGGAAGAGTTCCGAGTCTGGCAGGTGTGGGAAGTTTTGTGATGGAAGGTATCAACCGTTTGTATGTTGCAGGTGTGGTGTGGAGGGTCATTTGAGTAGGGATTGTAGGCGAGATATGCAAGTTTGTTTCCATCGCGGTCAAAAGGGCCACATCAGAGCTCATTGTCCATTTCACTTTTTTTAAGGTTTTTGGATCCTACACCCCTAGCTTGGCAGTTACCCAATGATCTTCATGGCACAATGACATTTTCAGGGGCCAAGGTTTGAGTTATCAGATCTTTTATTTAGCCGATTGCTACAGTGATGGTATTTATCTAGTAATTAATGTTTCGTTTTAAGACCAGTTGTAATTTGGGGATGATTAGATAAATGGAATTATCTTATTTGGCTTTGTTTTTTGTTGATTTCTTATTATGAATTGATAAATCATCATTTTCCTCGGATTGCATGCATGTTTGATTTTTGAATGTTTTTTGGGTTCGAATTTTCATATGTATCTGGATATCAGTTGTTAGGATCAAGTAGTAAAGTGCTAGTTGGTTTGGGTATCAAAGGATTGTGATGTTATCAAATCATATCATATTACAAGTAGGGGAGTGTGGAACATCGTAGTAGGAAGACCCTATGCCAAGGTTTAGTTATCAGTCGGATTTCTCCAAGTTCAAGACTTCCACGCAACTGTTGAATTTTCTGATTTTGTGCCAAGATCATCATTAGTTGTTAGATTTCCATTATATTCGTAATTAGTTTTAGTTGAGATAGAAATTTGTAAGGAATGCTTGTTATGTAACTATAGGGTGTTAGGATCCCAGGTTAAGGAATGTGGTGAGGGTTTCTTTATATGTTGTTGTTTGATTGGGTTTTGGAAGTCTGAGTCACAGACCAAAGTCTTGGTAGGTTCAGTTTGTTAGAATTGATGTGCATCTTGTCAGGCTAGAGTGTTGTTGTTGGTTAGTGCGTCAGGGGTAAGCCCGAATGACGTTGTTGGTTAGTAGATTAGGGGTGAGCCCGAGTGTTGATAGTAGATAGCGAAGCAGGGTTGTTAGAGCCATATAGGAGTGAGATCTAGTTTAGTATGTGACTAGTTGGTTTCTGTTGCTATGGTGCACTTTTGTGCAAGACTACCATGACAACTTTTGGCTGAGAAGGTTATGGCATGATCAAATATGTGGATTTTCGGTTTGTTTAGTTGAGGCGAGGGTTATGTCAGATTTTGGAGTCTCGGTTTGTTTGACTCCAGCCTAGGGTGGAACCATTATTGAGGATGTTCTCAAATCGTAGCTTTTCAGTGACCACAACCGAATTGAAGGAGTTAGGTGTAAAGGACCCTCAAGGGGTTATATAATGAAGTAAACGTGAGAATTGATTTCAAGGACAAAATCCAGTTTAAGTGGGGGAAAATTGTAACATCTTGTTTCCCGTCATTTCTTATTTAAGGGTCGTAGGCCGGAAGTCAACTGTGTAAAGGCTTTGGGCATTAAGGAGGTCAAATTTAGACCTTTTGGAAGGAGGTAACGATAGTTGAGACACCTTATCCTTGAGTTGTGTATTCGGCCGAAGGGTGGAAAGAGAAAAGTCATAGGCCATGTTTCTTACATTAAATCTGGATTTTAGTTCGAGATGTTTTTAGTCTAAAGTAACTAGATTGGATGGTGGGGCTCTTCAATACCTTTCCTCACATATAAAGAATGCCAAAATCGAAGTTGAATCGAAGAAGTTGTGGTAGTTTTAGTTTATGTTGAATTTGGCAAGAAAGGTTGTACGTTGGGTGTACCCTAGGTACACTACACGCACTAGCAACTTAATACATACCTCTAGAAGAGTACGTTGGGCATACCGTTTGGTACGTGGGGCATACGCTATCAGAACCCAAAACCCAAAATCTAGGGTTTTGAGTCCTATATAAGCTCCTTAACTTCCCTAAACCCTTTCCATTCTCAGCCACTATCTCTTCAACATCCTACCTTGAAACCCTAACCTTAGTTTGAGCCTTATGAGCAAAAGAATGTGCTTTTGGGTACCTTTGAAGAAAGAAGAATGCGGTGATATTGCTTGGAAGCTTGAATCAACTTCGGATCTGGAAGTTATCCCCCTCATTCATCTCCATAAGGTATAAAGTTAGAAACTTTATGAATGTTTCGTTAGATCTTACTATGTTCTTAAGTTTTATGCATTTTTCCCATAACATTAGTATTCATGATTATAGATTACTCTAGACCATAAGAGTTGTCCTTCAGACATTTTTTAGTGCTAAGAGCCATGAAAATGTGATCTTGGTCTTGTTCTTCCATTCATGTTTGATTTATGAAGCCTAGAATCTTATGAAAAAGTTAGAGTTTCATATTTGGACTCTTTCTAGCCTTATAGAGTCATGAAGTTGGAAACTTTATGATTGAGGGTGTCATTTAGATTTAAATATGAACTTTGGACAAAAGGCCTTAAGGGAAAAAGTGCTTAATGGGAATATTGGAACCAATTTGAGTACGTTAGGTGTACCTGGGAGTACATTGGGTATACTAGACTCAAATAATGTACGTTGGGCATACTTAGCCAACCTTGGACCTTCACTTTCTTTCACATCCATTGACCATTGACTTTTTGACCAAGTTTGAGTTTAGGTCAAACTTGAAGGTTTTGGGTTATTGATTAAGATTCTATTTAGTTTTGGTGATAATGGATTCTCCGGAGCAAGCATCACAAAAGGGAGTGTATTGTAGTGTTTCATGGTTCTTCAATTTAAGTAACTTTTGCCTCAATGTACTCGTAGGTCGAATGAATCAATATCGACCCACTAGTTTTGGTTATCATTTAGTAAAGGGATGCCCTAGGGGTTGTATGCAGTCACATATGATAGACTGAAGATTCTCGATCTAGGGTTTCTTGCATGTTCATTATTTGGTTATGGTTGTAGAGTAGGATCACATGTCCGAGTGTCTATATTACCTCTTACAATATATATATATATATATATATATATATATATATATATATATATACATACATACATACAGTTACGCATTCCTTGAATTATTGGTTATGTATCCTTATGTATAGTGTGTTGCTACATTTTAGTGATCTGCTGGATCTATGTATATATCCTTGTATGATAGGATGTCGTACTAGTGGTAAGTTGGTTAGAGTACCAGTAGACTAGTTATCATCTAGTGGAGTGCTATAGGGTTATATGTAGTCATGTAGGATAGCCTGATAACTTTCGATCTAGGCTTTCTTGCTTGTTCCTTGTTTGGTTGTGGCTGTAGAGTGGGATCATGTGTTTGGGTGGCTATCTCACATCTGCTTACTTATTGTTATGCATTCCATGGAGGTTAGTTGGTAGTGGAGCACTATGTTGTAAGAGATCAAGTAGGAGGTAGTGAACTTTATGATTGATATTGCATGTATTACGGACCTACTTTATCCATGTTTGTTTATATGTCGATATATGGTAGTTGTTGAGGTTGAGGCAGTCATGTTATGTGTTGTAGGCCAAGATACCTGGTGCGAGCCGACTGTAAGCCATAGGCACGGAGGCTCGGGAAGAGCGACTGGGTTAAGGCAACAAGCCAAGAAACACGGGGTATTCCAGTTCGATAACTAATTACGCCTGATGTTTGGTGGCCTTCCAGTACAATGACAATTTGGGTCAGGGTAATCCAATCTGATGATTGTGGACCTGAAATGCATGCTAGTATGTTTCTTCTATGGAGGAAGGCGAATACGAGAATATACACACATCATTAACATTGAGGATTCCGTGTTTATTATAATACTTTGATTTTAATAAATGTAATGGAGAATAAATTGTTCTTCTTAGAATAGATTTATAATTGAGAAGTTTTGCCTTAATAAAAATGAATTTTTTTATTTGTGAAAATTGGACGTTACAACTATCATTATATATCATTTTTATAGGTTAAATTAGAAGTCCAACCTTATGCTTATATTACAAGTCTACAAATCAACAAAAATTATTCAAAACAATAAAGCTAATAAATGGACAAATTTAATCAAATATTAAAATATTTTTACGCCGGTACGACGGACCACCGTGTCAGTACAACGGATCGTTTAACGGCAAAAATAAATGATTGGCCGAAAATAATTTTTCATTTTCATCATTTTTTATTTTGTAAATTGAATTTACCTCCTCCTAATAAAATGATAAATTGAACCAATAAAAGGAAAACTCAGCAAACTGACGAAATAGAAGACGAATAAAGCTGGAATTCGAAAATCTTCCTTTTAGAAAACCAATTTGAGTTGTCTTGACTAGACTAGGTTCTTCGCTAAACCAATATGGTATTTCAATATTTGGCATTCTTAAACAACTTAACAGATAAAGTTTTAATGTCAACTTTGGGATTGGGTATATGATTACAACTTTTTAGACCTCAATAGCACTTCTTGGTGCCAAAATTTAATGTCCATCGTCATAATAATTAACTTCTTCAAGAACAAACAAACAAAAACTAATCCCTTTCATTTCTCCATATTGAGTATACATATAAGATCCAAACGTACAACGGTTCTTTTAGCAAAAAATATAACCAAACGTAGATCATATACAAGACTTTCCTTTTTAAAACCCTTCGACGTCCGAAAAGTCTTGATGCACCGATGTACTAAGATGGATACGAACAAACCAAATTATAGGGTATACATGGGGAATGCTTCCAAACCCTAGCATGCATCTTCAAAATCTCCCTAGCTTTCTCGCTTGTCTTGCTCGCAGAATCCACTTGTAACACGAAACATAGTTTACCCACCACTCCTAACTGCAACATCTCTTGTACAACACTCTTATTCCCGGAGAACTTTGCCACCGCATGTAGTATCCTCACAGCCCTCGCACTTGCCACCTGTGAAACACGAAAGATTTTCTTGGAAACCACCGCTAAACCTGCACCATGTCTTAACAGTTCAGCCCGGCCTTCAGCACTCTGGCAAAGATGGTCTAACAGGGTTAAGACCATCTCCGACACTCTCGTTGGATTAGTACAATCTAGCAGGATGTCGATTAATACTGTAACTGCTCCGGCCTCCACAACTTTTACTCTATTCCGCCCCCATGGACAAACTTCTATAAGTAATTTCAGCGCAGCTTTTGTGGCTTTTTGTGAAACTTGATTGGCCAAGATTTGTGTAAGCTCCTTAAAGAAATGAGTCTTTAACGACATCATTTGAATGGGTTCTGCGACATCGAACATTGACTTTAGTAATAAGACGGCGTAAGTGCGTGTCTCGTAATTGGCGGCGTATTGCATCACGCGAGTTAACGCGTCGACAAACTCTCCTTTCTTTCGGAACAATGATTTAACGCCGGTTTGGGATAGACGGAGGTTGTAAAGGATGTTCACCGCTTCATCAACTGCTGTCACTGAATTATCAATTCCCTCAACACCAGAAATTTCTTCCACCGATGATGGTGACGTATGATTACAACTAGGGTTACATATGATGTAAGATAGGTATTCAGCTGCTCCAACTGCTTCCGTTGATCGTTTATTCACATCACTTTCCAAAACAATCGTCTTTAGCTTCTTTAAACACTCCATCTGCAAATTGGGAGATTTAGAATCTTGTAGGAGCTTCAAGATTTGTGATTTGGAGATTGGGATCCGTGGTGTGGGGAATCTTTCGATACCATATGGCCCATTAATTGTGCACCAAGATTGGATCAGTCGACGAAGGGTGTGGTTTGGGGTGAGCTCTAAATCTGTAAGAACTTGTTTGGTGATGGGACACATGCAGTTCTTTCGAGTGTACAACCATCTCTCTATGGCTTCACGATCATATGTTATTCCCGTGGAAAGGGTTACAGGGTCCTTCATGATTTCTAGAGAAATCGGGCATACAAAAAATGAAGGAACTTCTATCTCCGTTTGAGAATCACCCATTGCAGATAAGTGGAGAAAATCAACAGAACGGATAAATTGTTGGGTTTTTATTCTAAATCTTGATAAGTGGCTGTGAATGATAAACAGCATTGAAAGCTTTTGAATTTATAAATAGGTTATAGGGTGGATGAAAACAGCGAACAAACAAAAGTCAAAACAGCAAAAAGTAAACGTTATTTTGGTCAAGAATATAGGAGTATTGACTTTTCAAACGAAATTTTTAGAGGCTCAGCACAGACATATCTCCAAGTCTACGAGGCATGTGCTTTGAACTAAAGTGTGTGGCGAATGTGTCTTGGAAGTCTGTGGATGGATAAATATTCCTCATCCTTTCGATGGAATAGAAGTGTTTTTTTATTTAAGAAGATATACACGTTTAATTAACCTATTTTTTTTGTATTAAGATATTAAATTACAGATTTAGTCCATGACTCCATGTATATTACAATTAAAAAAAGGATGGTGTGTCAAAGATGAATATTATTTAGCCGGATCGATCATATGTTATTACTTAATTAGTATATATATATATATATATATATATATATATATATATATATATATATATATATATATATATATATATATAGGTTCAGGTTCATTTGAAACCATTCTAATTTTGTAAGACCGTGAGACCAAATTTAAAAATAATTTTAAAATACAAAAATAAATGGAAAAATCCAAAAATTCTTTTTTTAAATATTATTTTCGGAACTTGAATTAACTAAAAAAAATATAAAAAATAATAAAAAAACTAAAAAAAATTCCGTTTTTTTTTTTTCGAAAAATACATGAAATATTCTAAATAGAATATTACACTGACATATTCTAAAAAATAATTTTAAAATGCAAAATAAATGGAAAAATCTAAAAATATTTTTTTAAATATTATTTTCGGAACTTGAATTAACTAAAAAAATTAAAAAAAATTCTTTTTTTTTTTTGAAAAATACGTGAAATATTCTAAATAGAATATTACACTGTACATATTTCTAAAAATAATTTTAAAATGCAAAATAAATGGAAAAATCAAAAAATTCTTTTTTTAAATATTATTTTCGGAATATGAATTAACTAAAAAAAATAAAAAATAAAATAAAATATAAATAAAAATAAATAAAAAAATGCATCTCACGGTCTCACAAAATATAGGTGGTCTCAAATGAACCTAACCCTATATATATATATATATATATATATATATATATATATAATATATTATATATATATATATACATATATATATATATATATATATATATATATATATATATATATATATATATATATGGAAAAGTGAATATACATTACAGTTCCACTTAAGCTTAGGTACTAAACCTCATGAAAATACATTGTTTTACTATATAAAGATTGTGGTTAATAGATTCATAATTAACACTTGATGATGTAGATTCAAGATAGACAAAATAGTTTTGATAAGGAAGCAAGAATATTGATTATCTTCGACCTTATTAATAGTGGAAAAAAGTAATGTTTACTAGAGTGAAGTAATTAACAATAATTGAGGAAAGAAAACAAGCATAGTAAATGATAATGGAGGAAGAAAATATTATCGAGGAGGTATATTTACCAAGTGAAAACCAAATCGGGTATATTTGCTAAGTTAAAACTACATATTTTAGTGGTTTTGTACTTAAGCTTATGTGAGATTGTAATGTATATTCCCTATCCCTATATATATATATATATATATATATATATATATATATATATATATATATATATATATATATATATATATATATATATATATATATATATATATATGGGTGTGTGTGTATGTGTATGTGTCTGTGGAAGTAAAGCAGATATGTAGCAAAATTATAAGCACACAGGTGATAGTATTTACGTGGTTCGGTCAAGGTGACCTACGTCCATGGAATAGAGGGGAGTGTACTTTTATTTTCAGAGCTCTCAAAAAGAAGATACAAGTACAATTAGACAGAGATTCACCTATCACTCTAGAATTCAAGATACAAAATGATCTAGCATGCATTCTATTTATACTTCAGGGATCATACCTAAAACCCTAATGGGCCAAGCCCATTGGCCATAGGCCTAAGAATGGAGGCAACCAATCATATTAAGCCAGACAACATCCTCTGGAACATTCTTAAGCATCATAGATGACTTCATAGCATACTTGGCTCATCAAGGACAAAGATTGTCCAACTTGGATCATGACGGTGCAACTTCCTTCTAGTATGGCACAAGAACATCAAGATTGGAGCAAAAACACCACCTAGGCGCAACAGGAACATACATGGCACAAAAAGTCCATGCATGGCACAAGAGCATACTCCATGGCTCAATAGGAGTACGCCGTGTTGCAAGAGGGATCCTCATGGTGAACGAGGAGGTATAATGGCGCAAGAAGGAATGCCCTTGGTGCAACAACATCCTTCATGGCCCATCCCTTTAACATATGTGCAACAAGTTACCTTGTTGCTCCATATCACTCCTAAGTGCTCCTATTCTCTTCCAGGTGCACCAAACCCCCTTTTGTATAATCCATTCCTTTGGCACTTGATTCGTTCCTTTATCAGATGGTCCATTACTTTCTCATATGATCTGTTCCCTTTTCACATGCTCCATGAACCCCAAGTGCTTCATTGAGTTCCAAGTGCTCCAAAAGCTCCATGAACATGATCCAAATACTCGAGTCACAGTTAATAATCTCCACCTTTACTTAAGCATCCTCTTAAATCTACCTCGAACAAGAACTTACTCTCCCTTCCTACCATTCGTCCCTGAAGGGACCTACCTCCTACGAACATCAACCAAGTTTAAGAAAAGATTGGACTTCTCCGTAGGTAATGAATTTTTTTAACATATATGCTAGGTTGGCCTTGGTATCAATCTTCAGTATTGAAAAATTATCTTCTTCTAGAATATCCTAAATGAAATTCAGCCTGACATCAATGTTTTTCGTGCTCTCATGATACACATGGTATTTGCAAGAATCAAACAATTTTGACTTTCACCATATAAGACAGGTTTCTTCACCTTTAGACCAAGACTCTGAATGCACACATATTCAGTTGTAGACAAAGCAATGATATCTTGTAATGTTGACTTCCAACTGATGGCCCATGACCTACACTTTAAAAAGTTACCACCATATTTAGATTCCATATATTCCACCAATTCATCTTCGTATTTTCTCCATACACCAAGCAAACATTTTTCATTCCCTTCAAGTATCGTAACATCCACTTTACAGCTTCCTAATGAGTCTTCCCCGTATTACTCATAAACCTACTTACTAGAGTCACCGCATGAGCAAAATCAAGTCTGGTGTAGACCATAACATACATGAGACTTCCAACAGCATTTGAGTATGGAACCTTGCTCATGTACTTCCTTTCTTCATTAGTAGTGGGTATAGTGCTTGGATCAAGTTTAAAGTGAGCCGACAAAGGCGTTCCAACTGGCTTGGACGAATCATAATTGAAGGACTGCAAAACTTTCTCAATGTACTTTTGTTGAGAAATACATTACTGGCTTGATCTTCTATCCCTTTGAATCTATATACCTAGTATATTCTTTGATGCTCCCAAATCCTTCATGTCAAATTCATTCTTCAGGGTCGCCTTCATGTCATTTATTACAGCCATGTCTTTAGTTGCGATGAGCATACCATAAATATATAGTAACAGATATATGTAAGAATCTGGTGACAATTCCTTTGAGTAAACACAATTGTCAAAGTCGTTTCGAGTGTAGCCATTCGAGATCATGAATGAATCAAATCTCTTGTACCATTGTCTTGCGGACTTCTTCAACCCATACATAGATTTCTTCACCAAACATTTGTGATCCTTCTTAGAATCAAGGAATTCTTCTGGTTGGGACATATAAGTCTTCTCTTCTAAGTTTCCATGAAGAAATGCAGTTTTCACATCAAGATGTGCAAGCTCCAGATCCAATGCACTTACCATTGCCAAAAGAACCCGATTTTTTTTTTGTGCTTCATGACCGGTGAGAACACCTCATGATAATCAATTCCTTCTTTCTGAGAAAACCCTTTTGCTACCAACCCTTCCTTGAACCTAGCTGGTTCAACTCCTAGTATCCCTTCCTTCTTCTTAAAGATCCATTTGCATCCCACTGGATTTGCTCTTTTTGGTAGTGGAACAAGATCACGTGTTTCATTCTTCTCTAAACATTTCATTTCTTCATTCATGGACATCAACAAGTCATTTGCTTCTTTACTTGCCATAATCTCTTTATACGATTGAGGCTTCCTAGTGTCAATGCATTCTCTAGTTGCTAAAGCAAAAGCAATGGAATCAATTTCATCTGAATTCACACATCCCACATATCTGTCAGGTTGCCGAATGGCCCTCTTTGATCATCTCTTTGTTATAGATAAAAACATATCGTCCTTCGCGACATGTAAAGGTTCTAGAGTTTCATCTTCTCTTTGATCTTCTCTTTGCTATAGATTTATACCACTGGACGAAGATCCCATGGGTTGCTATTGAGTTTCATCTTGTCTAGGCTATTTAGTTATGGCTTGCTCTTTGTCACTTATCACAACTATGTCTAGAGTTTGAGTTGTAAACTCCACCTTCTACCTAGCACTTTGATCATTGTTCCCTGCTTGACTTGTATCACCTCCTCCATGGTTACCATGGCAGATTCATCAAATTTCACATCTCTGCTCATGATAATATTTGGAGTTCTTCCTTCTTCTGTACACTATACTCGATAACTTTTTATTCTTGTCGTATATCCTAGAAATATGCACTTCATTTCCTTAGGCTCAAGTTTACCATCATTCACATGAGCATATGCAGGGCAACCAAATATACGTAAACCATAACAGTTAGAGGGTTTTCCGGATCATACCTCTTGAGGAGTCTTAAAGTCTATTGTAGTTGATGGTGACCTGTTCACCATATAGTGAAGGAATGAGAAAAAGTCAGTAAACCTAGACTAGAGTAGTCCAAGTGTTGAAAATATTGAAACAGAGT